TTTATTTAATTAAATAATATTTAATTCTACAGAAATTACAATTATTTCTAGAAAAGATATTTACTCACGTTTATGTTGTTACTGTACGTGGGTTATTGTATGGCTTTGTAATACCTCCCACCACTTATAGTGTCAAAATAATCTAGTTACTTTCTTAAAATAAAAATTAAACCTATTAAATAATTTGAAATATCCCCAATATAAAATGGTTATACAAAATTGGATACCAGGTTCATATCCATAGAAACATCATTTCTCAGACTTAATGACATTATTATTTCTCTCAATCCTATTAATTGTTTGAAGTCTTTTGTACCGAAAATACAAATACATAAACGAAATTTAAAATTCCTGGACAATCCTGGACATATGTTTTAAAGCCATTTTTGGTATATAAAATTTTATTTTGGTCAAAAATAAACATAACAAATATAGATAAAACTAATTTAATACATCGGTATATAGATTTAGCTTAAATTTAAGTTTAAATTATATTATTTTAGCTATATATTAAATAAACTTTTAAAGTAAAAAATGTAAAGTAATTGTGAATTTTTAAAATTACGAATGATATACAATTATATTGTACAACAAATGCACCAAGCAACGCTTTAAATATATCAACAAATTATTCATAAACTTACATAATATTTAAAGTTGTGTGTCGGATTATTAAATCTAATATTTTTATATAAAAATAATAAATTAACAATAAATAATAAAAATTAAAATAAGATTTCTATATTAACTTAAAATTAAGTTTAAGTCTTATCAATTATTTATTGAATTTTCTTAATAAATTGTAAATCTTTTTGTTGACATTTCTTTTGTACCATTCCTGGGCATTACATTGTCCTGAACACTGGACAGATACCCTAATTCCTGGCCAGTCCAGGTCAAACCTGGACGGTTGGTCACAGTATAGCTACAATTGTTATTATTGAGTGAATATCTTTATAATTTCAAAGAATTTCGTCATCTGTTTTAGGTTTTAATTAAACTAATTGTTTGTATTTTAAATGTCTTTTATTGCAATTAATTATTTTATTGACGGAATTTGTTGCCGACCTTTCCCTACATGCGCTCCCATACTGTTTAAGAGGTGTGCTATGCTATGGCAAACCTCAGTCTCGTTTTGTATGCCTAATTGAACACTTGTTTTGTATTACAAAAAGTAATTTATAATTCTTATAATTGTTGAATAAAATAGTTTTGTATTTCGTAAATGAATCACACGTTTATTGCATTATATGAAATGTATTGGTTTTCTAAATTGTCGACTGTATTATAGACTGTATTATAGACTATTATAGACTGTATTATAGACTGTATTATAGACTGTATTATAGACTATTATAGACTGTATTATAGACTGTATTATAGACTATTATAGACTGTATTATAGACTGTATTATAGACTGTATTATAGACTATTATAGACTGTATTATAGACCAGGATTGACGTGAAGTCGGCAACAAGTGTTTCGGGACTGCGAGTACTCATCAGATAAGTAATCGATTGTATTGTTTCAAACTCTCGTCCCAATGTTCATCTCATCTATTGTTCAATTATTATGTGTTGTAATCATTTTGACTTTTGTCTGTCTATTCGTGCCTTTATTTGGCAAACAATGAATATATTATATGAGTCAATCAAATCATAATAAGTGTTAAATGTTTTCCTTATAAATAATATATACGACAAATAAATTGGTATTAATATTAATATGGTTATTTTAAAAATATTTAGAAACTACATATAGTTTATCATCAGAAACTGATTTTTATTTTTATAAAATTTATGTCATTCATTTAATTATTGCTTGATAATATTTAACAAATTAACATTACATTTTGTTTTGTTTGATATTTATTAAAATTCTTTTTAATTCAAAATTAATTCAAATTTAAAATGTTAGTCATAATAAAATCGATTTATTAATAAATCTATGCATAATAGAAATAACTATAAGAATAATTTATAAATTTATCTAATATTTGTATCAAGATAAATATACTAGATTAAGAACTAATTAAATAGCTGTTTATAATTCGCTTCTTGTCATAACCATACTGTCCCCCATGTCCTCCCTGTCCAACCAGTTAATCCACGTATTATTGTGAAGCTTAGGATCACTGCGCGGATCAACACCAATGACTGTAAGCGGCGGTACAGACGTCTCGTTAAAAGCAACCAATTTCTGCCACAAGAACTCCACAAACTGGGGATCCGTTTCCCCAATCAGGTTATGGTATTCGCACGGGTCGTCCCGTATGTTAAACAAACACAACTCAGTTGTGCAGTCATTGTTGGCCGGGTCGGTAGGTTCATGTGGTTCGCACTCTACCACCGACTCCTTCAGCACCTCATAATCGGGTCGTCTATTCATTTGTGACAACACTTTATATGATTTACTATTCACGCGATCCTTAGACTGCAGCGTTTGTAGCGATTTTCGGTTTAGACCGATGTTTTGATAGCCCAGAGGTCGCACCCATTGGCCCGACCTTTCATATGCGACAAGTTTTGGATTCTGAATAAGTTTCCAGTCGTACCACCGAATGGCCGATATATTAAGCAAATAATCGATATTATGTATGATTTCCGTTCGCACCGGGAGTTCATTATTTGATAGTACTCTCCATTGAGATTTACCTAAAAATTAATATTTAAGCATTTTAATAAACTATGAATAATATGATTGCTTCAGTTAATTGCAGTGACATTTTAGACTGATATAAAACCTATTTCAAGTATTCTTATACAGATATTCTCTGTTATTGAGGGGACAGACCGTTGCCAGCGGCTGTCCCGCTCGAGGGGTGGAAAATACGCGTTAAATCCGATTCAGGGCGGAAGGGGATGTGAAACTAAACGCTATTCAGTCGTGAGCGACGTCTGTCGCCCACAATATTCTCTGTATTTTATTTTGATTATTATAAATCAATAAGTTAGCAAGTAGAATATTTTAATAAAATTCCCTGTGTTCCCTGTTACGAATTAACATGGCACATGATTGTTTAATTATTCACCAAATAAACTATTATGTAACATAATTTATGTTATATATTAATATACCATAAATAATTTGTTCATTCAATATGCCGGCGCTGTTATCGACGGCATCTAAAATGGTGGGCAATACGTCTGTCACGTGAATCATGGCGTCCGATACGTAACTACTTTTGTTCAACAATGGACTCCACATGAACGCCGGGACTCTGATACCTAACAAGCAGTAAATATATAGTGCATTACACAAGGTTACTTGATAAGTTAATAATTATTAATAATGGTAGCTTTAATTTTGAATTATCGGAATACAAACTGTCATGATAATATAATTAATATAATATTGATAATATAATATAATTTTATACAAAATACCTCCCTCAAAATATTCCAGTTTCATTCCCCTTAGCGGCCAATTAGATCCACCATTTGCTATCAGATAAAAATGTATGTAAAACAGTACAAGCATTTAGTTAAATAGTTAAAACCATGTTAAAACAGTAAGTTAAAAAAGTACACAAAATATCGAAACCTCGAAAAACATAATTTTGAAATGAAAACTATTATCGAACTATACCAGAGTAACTATTAAAATGAGTTATTTTTTTTTTAAAAATGAGCAGACTAAGTTGGGAACATCGAGGCACGAATCTCGATTGATTGGTTCTAATTGTTATGATTAGTTAGCCAGTAACACAATTACCATTTTGAATTGGCTAAACTTGGCGAATCAAGTAAATTAACTTGCTAAATTTACGTTTAACTATTGCTGACATCCTCATTTTGTCATTTATATAACATAAGTTTTATGAACTGTACATAAGTTGAATTGTGTAATTGTATGAGACTGCTTATGCCATTAAACAAAAGATAATTTTAGCAATAATTACCGATATATGTACACAAAATAATAGTATAACATTATATACAACTAAATATCAATGACAAAATGAGGATGTCAGTGATAGTTAAACGTAAATTTAGCAAGCTAATTTACTTGATTCGCCAAGTTTAGTGAATTCAAAATGTTAATTGAGTTACTGGCTAACTAATCATAACAATTAGAACCATTCAATCGAGATTCGTGCCTCGATGTTCCCAGCTAAGGTACTAGAGGTGTTAGAAGTCATTTGCAGGTCTAAGTAGTAGTATGTTTGCATTTTTTATAAACATTTCAATTGGTAAACAAATAGTATAATATGTCAAATGCTTAGACAATGAGACACCACTTAACAACTTTCACGACTACTGTACGCGTGTCTCGTATTTGGATAGGCGTCATATGCATACATCAAAGGGACCGGCGGATATCGATAGTCTACAAACTTTAGTAATGCTTTTATTGGTGAAAGTTGTTAAGTGGTGTCTCATTTTCTAAACATTTGACACATAATACTATTTGTTTCCCAATTGAAATATTTATAAAAAAATGCAAACATACGACTACTTAGACCTACAAATGACTTCTAACACCTCTAGTACCTTAGTCTGCTCATTTAAAAAAATAATAGCACATCCACATATGTCTGATGTAACATGATTATTACCTTGTGGAACCATTAGGTTGGGGTTGGGTCACACGCGGAGTACCGGGCCGGCCCGATACCCATTTGTATCGCACAGCTCTTCACATGGCTCTCACAGGATGTGCTAGTTACTCCAGGGGAAGTGTTATTAATACAATTGTTTTAATTTCGAGATTATGTTCTTCGAGATTGGTTTCGAGATTTTGATGTACTCCGGTTAAAATATTCAATTACAGAAACCAGCGCCAGTAGTTCCCCCATTATCGCTCATAAATATAATAATACTGTTTTCCAACATTTGTCTCGAGTGTAGGCGCTCGATAACCGCACCGATCGACTCGTCCATACTGTAGGCCGCGGCGGCCAACCCTCGCCTCACATCGGACTCGATGTACGCAAACATATCGATGTACTCCTGGGGCGCCTCCACCGGAAACTTATTAGCCGACACATGTAGGGCCTGGTGTGGCATATATAGGAACAGTGGCTCAGATATGTTGTGCTCATCTGATTTAATCACAAAATATGATAGTTTACTTAAATATAACCCAGGTATATTTTTTATATACATATAATTATTTAATATAAACTTAATTATCATATAAGCAAACAATGATTGCAATCCATACTAACCGATGATATGAAGGCATCTGTCGGTGAAATAATGTGTTGAATAAACTCCCGACGCGTTTGTAATGACATCCATGTTATGTCGGAAATCATAGCCACAACTATGATGACCAGGATAATTCAAAAAATTATTAAAACATTGTGTATTTAATTCATTTTTATGAAGGGTTAAATCATGGACAACCTACCTGACCCGGTCATGTGGGTCACAATTAGTATGATTGAAATAGAATTGCCTGTTAGTCCAATAACCCACGTGCGAGTCAAAGCCCCGGTATGTAGGCGTGTATTCACGGTTCATAAAACCTAAATGCCATTTTCCTTAACAAGTAAAAAATTGTTCAAAACTTTTTTTGCACATTTTGTTTCATATATTATATTTATCATAGTAATTAAGATTACTATTGCATTCCTATAAATAAATATGCTTTATATATTATAGTAGTAATTAAATATTAACATTATTAAAATTGCTACCTTACCCACAATATGCGTGGCATAACTATACTGCTTCAGATATTGTGGTAATAATTTAAAGTGTAGGGGCAAACCAGTGGCCATAAAAGGCCTTAATGCCCCCAAATATTGAAAACCAAAATGCATGGGATGTCTACCGGTGAGTAGGGCACCCCTACTCGGGTTGCAAACGGGTTGTACGTAGAAATTGTTTAATACGACGCCATCGGCGGCCAATGTGTCGATGTTTGGGGTCAGGATGTGGTCGGAGTGGTAGCCCACGTCAGCCCATCCCATGTCGTCCGCCATAAATATGATGACAT